TATATTCATTCTAATGTCAGCCAAACATTTATATGTTTGGCTGATTATCTTTTCGTTATCTTACGTTACTATTAGCACTATATAGGTGACCGAAACATAAGGAGTCATAACTTTCATGTACTATCGAGGACTGGCCGAAGGGTGTGGTGTATCGGCGCTACTGTGGCAGATTGCCGACGTCAGTGCCGTGACCACACAGACAATATCAATATATTAGTTTTAAAATATTAATAATAGTCCCGTTAAGATAGAGCTTATCTTTTAATATGTAATAGATAATAAGAGTAATAATAATCTTTAAATTTAAATTACGTAACAGATTTTAATGCTGTTTTCAGCAATAGATAGACTGATTATTTATGTTTCTGACTACTCTAATGCTGTTGGCTGCAGCTGCTCTTTACAGCTTCACCGGACGATAGGGGGCGAGTGTAGATGAAATAGAAATAGAACTTCGGTGATTTAGCAGATTTAGCACAACGCTTCACTTCCGGTGGTCGCGGATTAGATACCTCACACGGTAGAAGCATTTGTACTGGCTAGTATGATTGTTTGTTTTGATCTGGATGTTTTCTACGTATATTATGTATCCATTTACAAAAAAATATGCATCTAAGTATCAGCTGTCTAGTACCTAGGCAGCTGATACTTAGATGTATACATATATATGTCTGTATCTTATATTATATTATGTAGATATGTTTACATATTTATCAGCTGTCTAGTACCTGGAATCTCTAGTACCTAGTCTAAATATACTTAGATTTAGTTCACTATTTAGTTGATAGTTTGTAATCACACATTTCGACTTAAAAATATAAAGTTGCAACGATTATTTAAAAGAGCAACACCCAAGTTTCTTGCTCGTTCTTCTTCTGATGAGATAACTTTCCGAATGAGCGGTAGATTAAAAGACCGATAACTGTGACTATTCAAAAGTTATATAGGTAGGTAAATGTATATATAATAAAGGATTTTCTATTCTATCCATCTTGGGACTAGATGTGTGTATTGTTCCGGTATATTATTATCATAAATGCAAATTACAGGACAGAATCTCCGAAAAATATGAAGATAGGTAATGCTAAAAGATTTTTAATAATGGTTGATAGTAATACATACTTTATATATATATATAATGTTCCGATCTTTAACATTTTTATGTGTTGGCAATTAGGCAACGCATGTGTTCACGCGAATACAAATTACAGTAATAAATAATTACAGCTGTAAGCAATTACAGGCCTCGTTAAATTCACTGACCTATTGGATCACGATAACGGATAACAGATGTTTACCCATACCTACATTGTATCACACAAACATTTACTCTTCATTAATTCTTAACATAGAATCACGGAGGCGGTTGCATCTCGCAGTACTGATGTTTGATATAATGACATTTAAAAATCCAGAATACTTATATAATAAATTAAAATTTTCATCTTTTGAAAGTCGGCGGCTTTTATGTCGGCGTATCTAGATCAGCACGGGTTCCTTTAGCAATGTATTCTCACCGAAGTGTTGCTTTTACGGGAAGCTAGCGGAAGCTTCCCGGCGACTAAATGCTGGAATAATATGCCTCCACCATAAGAGCCATTATTTCAAAACAGGTATTTAAGAAAAAGATAAAACTTTTTCTACTAGACATTTCCTAGCATTTATATATATTTTTTTTTTTAAACCTTTGGTCGCTTAGGTGATGGTCTGCGGCAACAGCTATTTGTATTTGAATTTATATTGATATACATTTTCATTTATTTATTTTATTATTTTTGTCTTCTGTTATTTTTATTAAGGATTAATTAAACTAATTAAATTTTGGTAACATTAAGTTTGTTGAGTGAATATGACACTGCACGCGATCGCACCACCACTGGGCTGTTACTGATATTCAGTGTTTTGCTCGCTGAGCAAATTGTTCACTGAGTAGCTCAACCCTTTCGTATCCCTGTGGCACCTAATATGTATTTTAATGTTTATTTTATGTGGAAGTTAAAGTATTATGTGTTGTATTTTTTTTTTTTTATAATTATTTCCTATTCTTATTTGTTATTTGAATTTTGTTTGTACTCTCTTTGTTATCGGGATACGAATAAAGATTTTTATCTATCTATCTACTCACTAATAGACAAATATAGTACATAATACGAGTTTCGGCTGAAGGAAACACCAATAATGATCCCAGAGTTGACGGCATACAGGATTTGTTATCATAACACTGTAATAATAACGAATGACTGTTTCTGCATTGCATCAAATGAGTCACTAATGACTATCATTACTAATGAATGAACATAATAACGATTCTGTCCTGTTGATTTAGTTTTTTTTTCTTTTGTAATGGCTTGGCACGTCGGTACATTTGCCAACATAAAAATCGTTTTAATTATATAGTTATTAGTTTAGTATGTCAGCATACTAATTCAATGAAAATGACTTACATTAATTAACCCGCGTGTAATTTAAAGCCTATATGTTATTCTGCTGTATAAGCTATATTACTGTAAAGTTTTTATTAAAATACGTTCAGTAGTTTTTGCGTGAAAGAGTCACAATAATCATTCATCCATCTGTCCATACTCACGTCGATTTAGTTACTCACATACTAATTCATTAATAATGGCTTACAATAATTAATATTAGTTGTACCCACGATTTCACCCACATGAAATTTATAACCTATATGTTATTCTGATGGATAACCTATATTACTGTAAAGTTTCATTAAAATCCGTTATAATATTAATAACAACTATCACGTTTATAATATTAATAAGGAATAACATAAGATAAAATTATCTGAATGTCGCATTTATTTCATTCATTCATTCATAAACTAAAGATCGCTATTGAAGCTTTTCCTATCGTACAAGCGAAGACATAGGTAGTTACGGTACTTTGTAAAAGCCATAAAAAAATTAATTATTACTAAAAAGTGATGACCAACTTAAAACATTAATGAAGTTCTTAACAAATACCGTAAATTAAGAAAAAAATCTTTTTAAAATACGAATATTTCACCCTCTGTAATGTGACAAGTAACAACTAATAAGATGCTGAAATTTATTCAAGTTGGTATAATAAATAATATAGGTAAAACTTCATAATATCAATTCAGACATAACCACTTCACATGTTGGAAGGTCAATAAGATGAGTCCATGATAAGATTAAATATGAATACTCAGAATGAGACGTAGGTTTTAGGTATATGTTTTTCGTATCAATAGAGACTTAAACTGAAATACTAAATATATAAGACATAACCTTTTTAAAGGTAATTTTGAATAGAGTTTTTTATTCTACAGCCTATTTGTAATGAAAAATCGACAATGATTATCCCACCGCAGATTTCATTCTTAATTTTATATTGCAATTATATTTAGTGACGTAATAGTATATTTTATGTAAAATTTTTATTATTCAGATTTCATATATTAATTATAATATATAAAATATATACACAGGTGCAATATTTTTTGATATTATCTTGTTTGAAGGTGCAGTGTATAATAACCTGAAAATAAAACGCGATAAGATTAATAATGGAATTTGGTCTCAATATATTAAAGAACAAAACCGTAATCTAATATATTATACAGCTGAAGAGTTTATTTGTTTGATTGAACGCGTTAATATCAGGAACTACTGGTTCGAATTGAAAAATTATTTTTATGTTCGATAGTCCATTTATCTAGGAAGGCTTTAAGGTATATAACATTACGCTACGACCAATAGAAGCGAAGCATTAGTGAAAAATGTTGCAAAACGGGGAAAAAATCGCGATAGTGTTTTTGATATACATATATAGATTACTAGCTTTCCCGGCAAACATTGTTTTGCCATATAAATTAATAACGCTATAAAAAATAGGGGTTGATGATAGAAGGGTGAAAATTTAGGATTGTATGTATTTTTGTATGTTGTATCATAAAAAAATAGAAACTAAAAATTTTGTCAAAACATTTAGGGGTGGACTACCCCTAACATTTAGGGGGATAAAAATAGATGTTGGCCGATTCTCAGACCTACTCAATATGCTCACAAAATTTCATGAGAATCGGTCAAGTCGTTTCGGAGGAATATGGGAACGAAAACTGTGACACGAGAATGTTATATATAAGATGTTATAAAAAACCACTGAGTATTATTGGCATATAGGATGACTTGGTTGTCTCGAGAAGGTTCTGTATATTAATTAGGTGTCTTGGTAACTATAAATTTACTTATATGGATATTCGTATCACATTAAATTTGCTTGAATGAACTTCGCTTGCGACCCATTTTATTATTCTATGTTAACAATTGATCATTAAAACCGCAGATTTATTACAAATAACATACAATCATATCAAAGAGTGACGTATGACAACGTAAGCCGTGACCAATTGACATCATAGTATTTGTAGAACTACTAATATACGGATGTAGGTACTATCATTTTTGTAATCGCTAACACGATTATCTTCTAAGCTAATGACATAATTTTACAACACTAAATAGTAAAATATGTGACTGATTCATCAATTACATATACATACGATTGTAAACAAAGATCATGGTTCAATAATAATGTGTAGGTACTCTGCATTACTGTATCTACGTCCAATTCCATTCATATGAACAAATACAGATGCATTCTTTACAGTTTGACGTGATTATAGCCGTGTATAGTGGAATTCTATGCTCTCACAGATGTGGTAACCAATTGATAGATATTAATTAGGACACAAGCAACACAACGTAATAGGCAACGTAACGCTGCCCACTAAATCAGTGGTGGCACCATCTCGAGATGCATAGCCGCTGGCAGCAGCGTACTCGTGGCTACCAGATGACGCCACGAATAAGTGGAAATAGGGTCAGTGCTGTGTCGTTGATCCGAGGCACAGACTCTGCGACTGCGCGACGAAGGCGGGGGGTCGAGCCCCCGGAACCCCACCGCACCGTCTCCCACCCCGCTTGGGCCTGCGCCCCTCTAGTCGGGCGCCGCATTCGTCTCTCCAACATTCCGTACTCGACGCGAGGGCGATCCGCACGCCCTCCTTGTAACGACCGCGACCGACGCGCCGCGCGCCCGCGGCTAGAACAAGCGCCATGTTCGACGTATTCGGCTCCGTCAAGGGGCTTCTCAAACTCGACTCCGTGTGCATCGACAACAATGTATTTCGGTTACATTACAAAGCCACCGTGATCATCTTGATCGCGTTCTCGCTGCTGGTTACATCGAGACAATACATCGGCGACCCGATCGACTGCATCGTTGATGAAATACCGCTGCAAGTTATGGACACATATTGCTGGATATACTCGACTTTCACCATCCCGAACCGCCTGGTGGGCCGCGTCGGGAAAGATGTAGTGCAAGCCGGCGTAGGACCTCATGTCGAGGGCCAAGATGAAGTAAAATATCATAAATACTACCAGTGGGTTTGTTTCGTGTTATTCTTCCAAGCGATACTGTTCTACGTGCCTCGCTACCTATGGAAGTCGTGGGAAGGAGGCCGCATCAAGATGTTAGTGCTCGATCTCAATTGTCCAGTAGTCGGAGAAGAGAGTAAGGCGGACCGCAAGAAGCTGTTAGTGGATTATTTCCATACAAATTTGCACACACAAAACTTTTACGCGTTTCGCTTCTTTATATGCGAAGTGTTAAACTTTATTAACGTGGTTGGACAAATATTCTTCATGGACTTTTTCCTAGATGGGGAATTCTCCACGTACGGAGCTGATGTTGTACGTTTTACGGAAATGGAGCCAGAAGAGCGCGAGGACCCAATGGCTAGAGTGTTTCCAAAAGTGACCAAATGTACCTTCCACAAATACGGTCCATCGGGCACCGTGCAAAACTTCGACGGCTTGTGCGTGTTGCCACTTAACATCGTGAATGAGAAGATATACGTGTTCCTGTGGTTCTGGTTCGTGATACTGTCCATCCTAAGCGGCATTTCGTTGATCTACCGCATGGTGGTTGTTGCCGGACCCCGTGTGCGACTGTACCTACTGCGCGCCCGTAGCCGTCTAGCTCCTCAGAGCGAGGTGGAATCGGTGGCTCGCAAACTGCAAATCGGTGACTGGTTCGTGCTCTATCAACTCGGAAAAAACATTGACCCTTTGATCTACAAAGAGTTAATGGGTGACTTGTCTCAAAAGTTCGAAGGAAAGGACGCTGTGTAGTCATGTTAGTGTTAATGGAGGTACGGACGGTTAGTGAGAAGCGGATGTGCTTCTAATTGATAAAAACTGATATAAAGTGGGTAGCGGAGAGACTTGGGGCCGTCCAGTAGTGAGTGTTACAATCGAAGGCCCGGTGCGCGTCGCGGGCGGTGCAGTGCGGCAACGTGGGGCTCGCGCTACCTGCGCCCGCGCGGGGCGGAGCGGGGCGGCCGCACCACGAGCGGCGGCTGCAAGCCGACATTCCATTACCTAAGCCCGTCGCGGGGAACGACCTCGCCGGGCCGCAGTCATTGTATTCCAGAACCGCTTTAACATTTATAGCTACTGTAACTATGATAGTCTTCTAATTATTCTTCCAAACGCAACACATCGACTGATACTTGCCACTTTTGGCGCGCATGCATTTAGCATAGCATATTTGGCGCAAGTTTATTGCGTAGTCGTAAATGTAGTAAGATCTCGTGCCTTCGTTTTATATTTTGTATTATTTGTGTGCGAATGAGTTATGTTGAAAGACGTCTCTCGATTGTGATATGTAATTATTATTAAATAATCTAAATTAAGTGTGTTTATCGTGTACGAGATTGACCGTGTGGACGACTGGTGTATTTCTAAGTTGTTAGTTTGTTAGCGAATGTTATACTCGATACGATATTGTATAAAGCAATAAAGTATTATTGTAAGTGAGCAATCTAAATCATTAAAGACAATACATTGTAATGTTACGAATTATGATGAATTTTTATACCGACTTTATTCGATTGGTTAAATATTTTCTGAATATATTTACTGCCATCTATATATTGCATTATTTTATCCTCGACTCCTTAATCATTAATATAAAACAATCGTGAGAATCCAAAGTGTAAAAAGATATAGAAAAAGAGATAATAATATTATTGATTGTCAATTTGTAAGTATACATTTTGTGTTCCGATAAAAAGTATTTTGCATACAGTCAGCGCCATCTATGTTATAGATCCACCAACACATTTAAAATGGCGGTCGTTAACACCATAACGATACCTACGCGGAACGAAAAAATCTGTCCTCATTACCTGCTAAACTCGGCATGAACAGGCAAAGAACGGTATAATAAGCTAAAATTTCACAATAGCTGAATAACTATAAACGAACATTAACAATATACGTCTTTAAATGGCGTAGTGTACCATTTAATGACGTTTACCAATTATGCAATTATTTAAATAGCATACTAAACTCATAACATTATATTATTATTTTAAGTAACAAACTACATTTCATTCTAAATAACATAAGATAAAAATTTTACATAAATATAAAAGAACCATACTATCTTAACAATTGATAACAAGTGCCGCCATCTTGCGTTAAAATATTAACATTGTGAACATTATGCTTTACTGATAAGCAGGTGCTGTACTGTAGAAACTATTGATAGGTATTCAGCCCTAGTGACCTCTATTGAAGCTTTATTTTTATTTGACCCCTTGTTTTCGTGCGTTTAGATAATACATATGTATTTATATACATAAAAAGATATTAACATTTGTCATTCTATTATAGCGATTAACTCTATTGTTCATAAATTACTCGTACTTGTGTATAATCACGTAGCACTTAAGTAAATTATCTTGGTATAGATTAGATATACTATACAGAGCCGGTACTGGTCGATCCCGTCCCGGCTATACAAATCTTTGAATTACTCAACTTGTTCTATAATATAACACGCATTTATTATGCATATAAACAATCCTCTTGAATCACTCTATCTATTGCTGAAAACTGCATTAAAATCCGTTGCATACTTTAAAAGATATAAGCGAACAGATAGAGACGGTGACTTTGTTTTATACAATGTAATATATATATACTAGTACAACTTATTACATTTGTCCTGACTAATAAACAAAATGCTGAGGCAAAAAACCTAAATATGCTAACGAAATTTTTCCGTAATATCCACGGGAACATAACGGGGTTGAACTATGCTTCGATTAACATCTGTTCTAAGATGAAATACACATAAGTAACACAGTTTATGATATTATTCATGCAAGTCTTGGATTCTATAGCGCAATTGATTTCCGAGGGTAGATAGATTACAAAAATTATCTAAGGGATAGTATAAGAATAAAACTGCATAAATTTTATACGTTATGTCTCTAAGAATTAGAAGTTTTTAAGTCATAAATTGACTTGAATTGAAACTGAACTTGAAACTGACTTGATTGATTAAATTATCAGATTTATTTGAAATTTCCAAAAACACCTCAAAATCATAATAATAACCAGAATAATTCACACAGGGCTATCTAGTCCCAAGCTAAACAGAGCTTGTGTTATGGGTACTGATATAAATTTAAATACTTACTTTGTAATATTGAAATGAATAGTAAATAAATTTTATTTTAAATACATACATAAAACACCCAAACCCGCAGAAAATATAAAAGAGTATAAAATGTTTTTGCATCTATCACTTACATACCTATATGAATAATGTATTTTTATGTAAATAAATAAAAATAACACGCTGCATACAAAATGAACGATTCGAAACTCGCCATTTGTATAAACATAACAAAAATCAATTACAATACTCTATAACTATAGAAAAAGTCTCTTGTACCAGCATCCATTCTTAAATAGATTTCTATTATTGTTATACAGACAGCGTTTCACACGACTGCACTATTAATATTTAAAAACGGGCTTTTGTTTAAGGAGGATGCGCTACGGGTAAAGGCGCAAACAACGCCATTTCTGGGAAACAACACTACCTGCCTGAATAGAACAAAGAATTATTGTCGATGGTCACTCGGTTCGTTCTAACAAATGCATCTTAACTGGGAACAAAGCCGCAAGTGGGAAGTAAATACCTATTACTGACCGTGTAACTGGGATTTATGTGTATTTTAAATAAAAACGAATACACACAAAAATCACATTTATTATTGAGATAATTCACGTTTAAAGTGGGTGCTTTAAAACGGAGAAATATCTCAATAAATGTTTATTTTTTGTGTTAGTACTCCTTTTTTTCTACATTATATTCATTAAAAAATATTGATACGAAGCGGGTGCACCATTCTATTATAATATAATAAGATCTGCTTATTATTATATTATATATATATAATAATAAGCAGATCTTCTATTATATATCATAGTATAAAACAAAGTCGCTGTCGCTGTCTGTGCGGCCCTATGTACACTTAAATCTTTAAAACTACGCAACGGATTTCGAAGCGGTTTTCTTAAATAGATAGCGATTCAAGAGGAAGGTTTATATGTATATGTAATACATGTACACCCGTGCGACGCCGGGGCGAGTAGCTAGTTATATATATAATAGATCATTCACGTTCGATGGGTGATATTTCCATGTTAATAGTTAACTTTGCTTAAACGTAATCCAACAATATTAATATACAGATAAAATAAATTATATTTCAACAATATATAATCTATTTTTAAATATTACATCGCTTATAGAAAACTACAATATTTGCGAAAAAAAATGTCTCTATTTTCAAATAGCGATGAGTCCTGGTTTCGCACGGATGTATTACGAATCTTTGAATTTCTCAGCTTGTTATATATATATATATAAGCCTTCCTCTTATATATATATATATATTAACCGTAACCCAAAAGAACGTGCATACCATCCAAGTTGCTGAAATGAAGATGCTGAGGTGGATGTGCGGTATAACCAGACTCGATAAAATCCGCAACGAGTACGTATACATTAAAAAATGCAGGAAAGTAGGCTGCGATGGTATGGACACGTGAAGAGAAAGCCGCCTGATTACGTCGGAAACCTGGCACTGCAACTTTCTATTCCTGGTCGAAGGGGCAGAGGCAGACCAAGTAAGGGATGGGAAGATGTTGTTGCTAGGGACATGATAGAGTGTGAGGTCTCTGAAGACGATGTCCGGGACAGGATAAAGTGGCGGACAAAAATAGGGAAAGCTGACCCCACCACCATGTGGGATATATAGCCAGGAAGAGAGAGAGATAAGCCTTCCTCTTAAATTACTCTATCTATTGCTGAAAACTGCATTAAAATCCGTTGCATAATTTAAAAGATAGCCAACAGACAGTGGCGACTACTTTGTTTTATACTATACTAGCTGTGCCCGCGGATTCATCCGCGTAAAATTTATAGCCTATATGTTATTCTGATGTATATTCAATATTACTGTAGTTTCATCAAAATCCGTTCTGTAGTTTTTGCGTGAAAGAGTAACAAACATCCATCCATACTCACAAATTTTCGCGTTTATAATATTACTAGCTGTGCCCGCGATTTCACATGCGTTAAATTTCAATAAAATATATAGCCAATGTGATATTCTGATGCATAAACTACATTATTGTAAACTTTCATCAAAATCCGTCCAGTAGTTTTTGCGTGAAAGAATAACAAACATACCTACTTTCACATTTATATATATATATACATATATATATATAGGATTAAGATAATATGTAATGTAAAGTTATTTACGATCAACACAATAGTTGCACCCGGTCGCTAGTATAAGTATGTAATATTATGTTATATATTATCTGTAATATAAGGCACTTCTATACAAACCCAGCCCTATAATGATGTACAGTATGTACATATGTAGTAGTGATGTTAGTACAACATATATTATTTAGGACATGATTCTCTCGGCACAATTGAGTATAGTAGCCGTGGTAGTAGGAAGTAAACCGTAATAGCGTGTACTTAGTCGAGGTCACTCGCTAATTAGACACATAGCAACGATTTGTTAACCGTACCTTAGTACCTATTATTGAAGAATTAATAAAACCTCCACAGACTTGTTAACTGTACCCTAGTTGAATAATAAAATAAACAATATTTCACAACAATTTATTGAAACATGCATCAAAACTTTGTCCCAAGAAAATTTATTTATTTTATATTTATATTCAAGGTAAATGGTAAAATTTTGAAATACAATTCAACGTAAGAGAATACTGTCTATAAATAAAATTAAACTTAATATAAAATAAAAGTCCTAAATTTGTAAAATTTGTATTCTGTTAAACAGACCTTTGTATGTTGATTACATATCTGTATGAGAAGTCAATTTTTAAGATATTATTTTAAACAGCTTAATTTAGCATAAAAACACTATACTTCAATTCCAAGAGCACGGAGATAAAATAGATTTTAAGACAATTGCTAGCGATGTAGCGTATAAATAACCTCCACGCAATCCCGATTCAAGAGATCCAAAACCAACGTCTATATTTCATGCAAAATTCGCCATCAAGTGACTACATATCATACTCATTGTTCGCCTCTTTAGGACGAGAAAGCAATCACCAGTAGTTCACACAACGTCACCCATCCATCACAGACAATATTAAAGAAATCCCAGAAGGTATGTGTAATGGATGAGTGGACATTTTCCCCATTGACAAGTACAATTAAATTATTAGACTAGATCCTATATGACATACACAATAATACACATGTTGTTAATATATCACAATTTTACGAGAAAGAGCACGAATACATACATGCAATCAAATCAAAATATCTTCAATTAATAAAAAATAACATATATTTCAAGAAAACCATTTCACATGAGACACAACTTTACAAACATAGATCTTAACTTAACCTATCAGTTGTGTTTATTTACAACTGTCTCTGCACTAATCATAGCTTAGTCCAGACTATGTTTTAATTATTTAGTTTACTGTTTTAGGGCAGTCGGTTCTAATACAGTATATAGAATTTATATTTCATGTAGGTCTTACAGACTTTTATGATATATCAAATCT